TAAACTAAATTAAACAATAAAAAATTACCTCACGAACTATGTTTGATCCTTTATCTTATCTTATTTTCTTCTTCTTCCTTTTCTTTCTCTCGGCAAAGTTTATATGTGCTTATGCTTATGCTCCTGATTCTGCTTCTGCTTCTACCCTAAACCCCATATCATTTATATAAAGCAAAAAAGCGTTGTACAGAGTCATTAAATTTGACTATTGAAGAAAATAATATTAGGATTGAATCGTATAACTATTGAGCATTGAAAGGCTTCAATTGAACAACAATATTTGCTGCATTTAGCAGCTAAATTAACGCTGCAATCATGCAGCTACGGATGCAGGAATCTCCCAGCTATGGATGCAACGCATGCATGAGGGATAGGGTTAAAATTTGGGCGTGGTGCAAGACTCCACAGCTTGGTCGCCGGGACTCCATGGCAACCTACCATGTCGCCGGGACTCCATGGCGACCTACACACTTTGGTCACCGATCTCCCCATGCATGCACGATCTCCTCATGCATGCACCGATCTCCCCCCATGCGTGCATGCACCGATCTCCCCCCCCCCATGCACACCATGCAGCTCCCGCTCCTTGGTCGCCCCGAGTGCATGGCGACCTCCTTGGTCGTTGGGCGTGCATGGCGACCTCTTTGGTCGTTGGGCTTGCATGACGACCTCTTTGGTCACTGTAGAATTAACCCTATCTCAGCATATAATATGTCCAAAGCATTATCTCGTGAAAAAAAAATTCGAGAACATTATCTCGTGGAATCAGCCGTTTCTTGTGTGTAATATTTTATTTGTTTTCCTTTCTTTTTATTTTTGTACGTTTATGTTAAGTCTTTTTGCATGGTTTTGGTTTATTAAATATATAGGTATTGTTGACCTTTTGAATAAGATTTGGTTTTGGCTATATGCTAATAATTCCCGATTATTTCCTTGTGTGATTAATTGGTTGTATATGCGCAGTATATATATGGTTACTGAGCTGATCTTTCCTTCTTTGATTCTATTTAGCATGTTTCTATTTTTTAGGATTTTCTTTTGATATATATATGGCTATTCGGTATTGGACTTGTGGGATTAATGCGGTTTAGTCAATGGTATTTGCTGATTATATCTTCTCTGTCTGGTGAATTATATTTATATTGGGTCTCCATTATAGGGATTTCCCTTATTCTGTTGTTGGTTATATGGTATATTTTATTTGGTTTTGGTATGTCTTATATTGTATGCAATTTGTTAAGGGCTTTCCCGATTCTTTGTCTCTGTTTCATGCTTCTAATTTGCTATCGTTTACTTTTGAGTATTTTCTTTGAGCCATATTGGTTTGCTACCGTGCCTATATCTTTATATTGGTTTGAATTTTTTAGATATTCTTGTTTTATTTGGGTCTTAATTAGTGGGATTTTCCATGTCTATTTTTGAAATTATGGCAATTTTTAATGGGAGTTGACTGTTTATTTTATTTATTTATAGGGGTTACTTTTGCTATAGTTGTAGTGCTTTGTGGATGCCTTCTTCCTTTTTGCTTTATTTTATTTTATTTCACTTATTTGATAATGACAGAGGGTATTTTGGTGCAACTGAATGATTTATCCTTTACCGAGGATGAATATACACTAATTGTCACTTCTCTCCCATCTGATCAAATAACAGAGCTAGGTTGGGAAAGTTGGCTTGTTGGAAAGTTCATGTCTGAGACTCCGGTTGACGGGGCAGCTCTTAGGCGAATTTTTCGGGCTATATGGAAAAGTGAAAACATCGAAGAGATTGTGGAGCTTCGACCGAAATTCTTTCATATAAAATTACGCTCAGCTGAAGCTAAGGATGATATATTGAGGGGTGGTCCATGGTTGTTTAATAATGTTTGGTTTTCGATGCTATCCTTTGATCGTCTTTCATGTCCCGAGGATTATGCATTTTCTCAACTGGAGATTTGGATCCGGATTTATCAGGTGCCGTTGGGTCTTATGACTAAAGCAATGGCGATCTCGCTTGATGGTAGTATGGGGACGGTTATTGCTGTAGATACGAGGTCCTTGGAGGTAATATGGGTGACTTTTTGCGTGTACGGGTTCGGTTTGATGCCATGAAGCCTTTACGTCGTAGTATTGCCCTTGGGATTCCTGGTAATTCTAAACCACGTCTATGTCCAGTACGTTATGAGAGGTTGCTTGTTTTTTGTTTTGGTTGTGGATTGTTGGGTCATCAAGCCATCTCTTATCGTACAATTTATGTTATGGCTTCTTCTAAACTTCAGTATGGCGAGTGGATGCGTGTACCTCCTCCAAAATATGTTGGGCCTAGTCCTGTGAAGAGGGGTGTAGAATATATTTCTGATATGGAAGAAGTTCCTTAGACTTACCCAGCCAAATTTGGTGGAAGATTCAAAACTTGTTGTTGGCGGTGCACAAGGTAACGAGGAAGTCGAAAGCGTGGTTCCTAATGAAAAGAATGGATTGAGTCCATTATCGTTGACCGAATCTGGTCAATTTGTGGAGAGCACAGGTACGGACGTGGTGGTTGAGACCCATTTAGCAGAAAATATGTCAGATAAAACTTTAGTTTTGGAGAATACTGAATATTCCAATACTCCAGTTACGATGGTTAAAACTGGTAAAGATGGTCCACATATTATAACTAATCGTTTGTCTAAGCGTGGCTTACAGGGCAAATACGAGGTTAATAATCTGATTCTGCCTAAACGCACACGAATCTTACATGCTCCAACAAATGACGCTGGGATGAGCAACTCCAAAAACTCTATGGCAGCAGTTGAGACTCAACCCCGCCGTGACCAATGATTGTCTTATGTTGGAACTGTCGTAGTATAAACAACGCTACGACAGTTCGTGCGATTGGTCGATATATCGATCTTAAGAGTGCTAATATTGTTTTTTTAAGCGAGACTTGAATAAAGCAAAACAAGAGTAATTATATATGTTGTAAGCTTGGTATGGATAATTGTTTTGTTTTAGACAACAACAATGATTGTACTGGGCTAATGCTCTTGCAGAATAATAATAATAATAATAATAATGTATTGATTTTATCGTACTCTTGTTTTCATTTTGACTCAATTATTGATGATGGAACTGAGAAATTTCATTTTTCAGGTTTATATGCAAGTCACCATGCTAATCTCAAGCCTGAGATTTGGTCCACTGTTCATTCTTTTCGAAATGTTTTTACTCTACGATGACTATTGGGTGGGGATCTTGATGCAATCCTTCATGATTATGAAAAACAAGTTGGGCGAAGGAAATCAAGATTTCAAATGGATGAGTTTTGTATGATGCTTACTCAGAATGGTTTATTTGATGTTAAGCCTGCTAGAAGTTGGTTTACGTAGCATTTTGGAGGATTGGATAATCATGCTATTAAGGAACGTATTGACCGTTTTGTTGCTAACCGGTATTGGTTTCAGGCCTTTCTAAATAGAAAGGTTTTTATAGAGTTTGCTGAGACTTCATATCACTGCTATTTATTAACGGATATTGATTGGGTTAAACCTCTAAATAGAGGACGATGTAATGATTATTTAAGGTTTGAACAATGTTGGGCTTCTGAAGAAGCTTGTTGAGTTTTAGTGAAGGATGATTGGTTTCAATCCCATTCGGATGTTCTGGGGAAAATTGCTGAGGTTGGGTATACTCTTAGTTCTTGGCAAAGAGAACGCTTATCTACTACTCGTGGTCAAATTCAAGAGCTCCATGCTAAAATTAATGCTTCTTTTAGTTGGCATATTTCGTTGGATGCAATACAAGAGCTCAAAAGAGATAAAGAGGAATATCTTCATTTGTTTATTAAGGAGGAAGTTTATAGGATGCAACGGAAATGACCATCCAACTCAGTTGGTAGAGCACAAGGTTCTTAACCTTGAGGTCGTTGGATCGAGTCTCATGGAGGGCATTTCATAATTTGGAGGTCTCTTACGGAAGCTACTCTCAACCTAGTGTTGGGGGCAGCCTACTATCTTACCTCCCCTTACCCCATTACATATGGGAACAAGGAACAACCATTTTTTTATAGGATGCAATGGTCTCGAGTACAATAGTTGGCTAATGGGATCATAATACTTGTCTGTCGAGTATACCATACCTTAAGGGAAGGGGCTCTTGACTAGCGAATGATAGATACCATAAAGTATTAAAAATGTGCAATTGGTTGTTAGTTAAAAAAATTATCAATAATGTACAATTTCATTAGCAAATTTTGGACGTAGTAGTAAGACACATTATATTTTTAAAGAAATAATTTTGTAATAGTCTAAGATGATTACAATGTAATATTTGTTAAGAATTTTCTTTTAACTTATTGATAATTAAAACAAAAGAGAACAACATTTTTTTACTATTAAGATCATCTCATGGATTCAAAATTTAAATCTTAAAATTAATATGGTTAAAAGGAAAAATCATATACACAGCAAACATACAAAATAATTTTTTAAAGACTCTTTACACCAAGAATTAATAAATGTAAATGTATGAACAAAACTGACCGTTCAAAATAATCTTTGAAGATCTTAATTAATGCAATGGACAAGCTGCAAATTAATTAACAGATAAAATTATTTAATTCACTAGTTAATATGTTTCTGTCTCTCTCCTAATCAGGGCCGTGGCTAGGTATAAAGGGTACTTTACAAATTCTTATAAAAGAATCCTTATTTTTTAGATATATTCGATTCCGAGATCCTTATTTTTATATTTCTTAATAGCAATAACTGATAAATATACTCGATTTCGGGATCCCTATTTTTATGCTTATTAATGACAACAACTGATAGATATATTCGATTTCAAAATCCCTATTTTTATACTTATTAATGACAACAACTAATAAATATATTTAATTCAGGACCCTATTTTTTTGGGCCTGCGCCGTCGCGCACCTTGCGCCCCTTAGCCACGCCCCTGCTCCTAATCCATAAACCTACCAACGACGGCGAGCTGTCAACTAAACACTTTAGCCGTCCAATTCAGAAAAAGGAGAGAAAATTAATACTAATCTATTATAATTAATTAGGATAAGCAAAGGGAAACAAATAATAATAATAAAACAGTGATAAAAAACGATAAGAGAGGTAAGACATGGAGCAAAACAACAAAGGGAGGAACATCATGACTCGGAGTTGGCTCATTGTTTAGTCATTTCAAACATGGAGTCAGGGCCACCTCGGGCTTTTCACTGACCATTCACAAGCCCGAGTTACTGTGCTTGTTTTCTGGGGGGTTTGGGTTTTGCATTGCCCTTTGTACACATATATTGTTATATTGCATATATAGGACCACGACCGTATAATTTTTTGCCACTTTTTCTTTTTTACACCGAACTGTAATCATGTACGGGTATTTGAAAGGTAGATGAACTCAGTGGTTGGTGCTGGTGAATTGACTCAGGCCCATGGTTGAACCAATTGATGCATATTTGGCTAGTTCTTGGGGTAAAAGTGACCGACCAGATTGATCGTTGTTCATTCCAAGGAAGTCCCTTGTCAAGCTATGAACGAACGGACTAGAACCAGGGTGTATGTTTAATCGACTCGGTTCACCTGGTGATGCCATGAAATTAGTGGCCGTGTGCGAGGAGGAAGACGAGCTGCTCATTACACCGAAACTGTTCCCGAAGAACGATGGATTGCTTCTCGTTGAACCCATCTGAGCCGCTTTCTGCAACAGTGCGGTCGCCGACATTGGAGAATCAGTAAGCTTGGATTGTTTGTTTTGAGAATCGGAATATAGAGACGAGAGACTTTCCATTAAATTGCCTTCATTTCCACCTTCTTCTATACAGGAAAGATTGTGATTTGATGAAGTTCCACCACTGTTTTCGAATCCAGGAAAGTGTGAAGATGAACCAAACAGATTGCCTGGAGCCATTTGAACCATCTCAGACAAGCCTGATCAAATTCAACAACACAAATAATTAGTCACAATATATGCAAAGAGGTTCATTTACACAAAATTGAGCAGTTTACCTGCTGCAGGAAAATCTTGAGGAAAACCAGAAAATGCACGAGTAAGATTCATAGCGTCGTTTCTGAAATTTAGGGTTGTACTTGTAGCTGCAACAGAAGTAAGCCCTGCACTTTCTTCAGCTAAAGCATCACAAAACGCTCTATGAGTGATGAAGCTGTCTTTTCTGTTTGAATTAAAAGAGACCCAAATTTCAGAAACACGAGCACTTACATTCATTACCTAATCATTAACAAAATTCCCAGAAACGTAAAAAGATTCTGAAACCTGGAAAATAGTGTGCCACAGTCACACTTGTACTCTCTAGTACCACAAGTTTTACAGTGAGCTTTCCAGTCGGATTGAACAGCGTATTTCTTCGAACATTTCTCGCACTTCCACTTCTTCTCCCCATGTTTCCTGCTGTAATGTTTCTTTATCCCGGTGAGGTCGCCGAGGGCTCTTGACGGATCGTGGTGTACGCAGGTTTTCTCGGGGCAAATATAAACCTTCTTACGAACTTCTTTGTTGGTTCTTTGCCTCAGCTTCCATGGAAGATTATGACCCCTTCGATGAAGCTGCAAGTTCTGGTCTCTTTGGAAACCTTTCTTGCATATTTCGCAGACGAATCTGTTTGTCGCCATAAGCGTTTTGGGGGATAAAGCAATAACTTCTGCATCTGGATCTGTCAAGGCCGCAAACAGAAGATTGGAACTAAGAAAAGGGTATTATCAAAGGAGAAAGAAAGATCGAATTAGGTAAGCTTACCAGGGTTTCCTGGAAGATTTCTCTTCTTCTTAACGGGATTTGGATTATCTTTAGGGTTAGGGTTTGCATTATTTTGGTCTTGGATGAACCCTCCTATTGAAGAAGAAGGAATAAAGAAAGCTTCACCGGACATAATTTCTTCCTTCCTCTCCTTCTATAATATATTTTGCAGCTAAATTCCGAAAAGTGATGGCTTTGAAAATTAGTTTTCAAGAGGCTAAAAACACAGTAGAAAACAAAAGAAAACAAGGATTTCTCCAAACACAAGCAGATAAATCTTTGGTAATAATATATACTTACTCTCTCAGTTTCTTCCCAAAGAGACAAAGAAAAGCACAACTCAAGCTTAAATCTAAAAACAAAACCTTCGGACTCTTCTTTGTTCTTACAGAAAGATCTGGTTTTTAATTATCTCGTTTGATTACTACAAGATAAAACACCAAAAAAACATGATGACTAAAGAGAATATATATAAATATATATATATATATATATCTCATTTTGTACGTCTCCTTCGTCTCTTTCTTCCTTTCTTATAGTCTTGGTCTTTCATTACTATATCTTTTACCATATCTTCAACGTCGGTCAGCCATTGATATTAGATGGGACCACACCATATTCTTTCTCTTTCACACACAAACCGCACGATTGTGGAGGTTGGCAAATGTGTGTGCCAGACAGCAAGCCGATGTTTTTGAGTGACCAGTCAGAAAAATGTATGAATTTTCGTGTCCCTTATCTGGTATAGCCTTTCTTCAGTTCAAAGCTCCATGTAGTCGCAGCAGTAATTTTCTTAATATTATATTGATTCCCGGGGGGTTATTTTTGTCAAGTGATTTGAGTGGAGGTTAAAAAGTGAGTAGCCTTTACAGTGATACAGATCAAGTATGAAATGATTAAACCATAATTAAGAGGTAAAAGGCCATTGAAATAGATGAAGAAGTTGCAGAAAAAGGAAGAGAAATGACAGAGAGAGATGATAGGACGGTCCGTGATACCTGTCTGGTGGAGAGGGACCCACGTTTGGACTGTGTGATTCTGATGCTCCACCAGCATCAGCAATGTTGTTGCCACTGCCACGGATGCATCTGTACTTGTCTTTGTTTTTTATTTGATTACGTATATTAAGACTGCCGTAACGTAGAAATTTAACGTAGAAATTTACTCATTTCTGCATTACAAAATTTGGTATATCTAAAAAATTTCAATCAATATTCCTATAAAATTATTTATCTATCACGTGATACTAAAAAATTACAAAAAAATAATTATATTTCTTCGAAATAATTCTCGTCACAATTTTAAAGATTAAGACATATTCTTTATTTATAGAGCTCACTATTTACTATTTAGTCACCAATAATATTTATTACATAGGAATTCTTAATTAAATAAATAAAATCATCAAGTAATCTTCAATCACTATAATTACAATAGAATTAATCTTAATTTTTAATCAGAACTTAAGTTAATATCTAGCCTATATAAATTATAACGGAGCGTCTGGTTAGGTGAGTTGCGTTTCATATAGCGATGTCTTTATCCAAGCAGACTTCAACCAGACCCGCCTCATCTGTTTTACGTTCTATATTATAATTTCATGGACATGTGTTAGGTCAGAAAAGATATCGAATATATTTATAATAAGGATGCAAAATTTGAGGCATATTAATAATAGATAATTCATGAGCATTTGGCACCATGCATTCGGAGCTTACTTCCACAGAAAAGGATGCCCCTCTTTCCTTGGCATCCTATGCCTTTTTGTTTCGAAAACATGAGTAGAGACACATGCAGACGTAGGGACTCGACACAAAAACAAGATCTCGTGTCCCGTTTGTTAGGGTTTTCCTTCTTTTTATTTGTGTTGTTTTCAAATATCTAGAAAACCCTAATTCTAAGACGATGGATTGAGAAGGGAGATGATGAGTTTTTATAAATAATATTAATGTATCCGACCAGAAACGACATCCTTCACATTCATCCATTGCATATAGATTCCCGATCTCTGTCCCACTATGCTACTTATCGGACCATTAACGCCCTATTTTTCTTATTTTATTATTCTCTCCCAACAGTTTGTTTGGTAGTAGTACAGGCAGCATTTTAATTCTTAAAAAAATAGTTATCGTTCCATGAATTGCGTCGTTTTGTTTGTTTACACTGGGTTCTAAATATAATTTAGGTATTTTTTTATATTGTCTAGTAATGATTTAATTTTACATTTTTAAATTTTTAATATAATTTCCTAAAATTTCACACCCCAAATAATGTATTGTGTTGATCCCTGTCTCCCAATCCTTTAATGACTGTCCATGTTTATAATTCCCTGAGATATACAATATGAGTGTCTAAATTCAACCTTGGAGATTGTTATCTGAAAAAAGATTATAGATTTTTTTAATAAATCATTAGTGTAACATTTTGCACAAGATTATAATAAATGTCATACACTGATATACATTACTAATAGATGAATCTACATCAAATATCATTCACCAATATGTACTACTTATGATACACATTGATGTTATACTATTGTTTTTTTTAAATATTTTTTAAAATCATGATTCATAAGCAATCTAAACCGTGACTCAATCAATTTGTACTGTTTCTTGTGATCAACTGAAGTTTCTTTCAAATTATTAGCTATTCTACATGATGTTTGGGTTACTATTGCAGACACAACGGGTCAATAAGTACCCACAAGCATCGTTTCCATTTCCAAGTGTCTTTCATACCTCAGTTTATCAGCATTGATGCAATGAGGAGTAGAAGAAGAAGAACCATTGATTTTATTAATTATCTTCAACTCAAAATTACTCATTAGTTTATGCGATTTAAACTCGATGGAGTTCATTTGTCAAACTATAACACCATAAGAAACATGAACAACATTTTGGGGATGGTGCAGGCCGATACACAAACAAACTACCGAGCTGTTTGATCAATGTTGAAGCAAGCTTGATAGGCTATTTTATTGCTGTGGGAGGAACAAGAGCTTGCAAAGTTTGCTTTAATGAGCTGAGTTTAGGAGCAGACACAAAATTTTATATTACGGGGACGAATTTATAAAGCTTTTAAGGGACCCGAAAATAGATTTTCAAAGAAAATATTCCCTTAGTCTATCGCTGGTTGTGTTCAGTTCACCCATGGAAGAGGTTTTCACATATCATCCCATTTAACCCAATGCACTCCACCCCTAGACGAAGTGATCCCTCAAATAAATCACCGAATCAATCACTCAATAGCCAAGCACGTCATTTTGGGTAAAACTGTAGTTTGAAGAGTGTACATAGGAATTACTGCAAGAACCGTTTTAGCTAATAAAATATGGCCAGCTAAAGAAAGACATTTAGCATTCTATCTGTTAAGTTTTCTTTCCACACTTGATAGAGAAACGGCAGCGGATGATGTGAACGTTGCTCTCATCAAGGAAACAAACCTAGGAAAGTTCTAGACTCGATGAAGAAACGAAAGGTTTTGATTAGGTGCTTTGAAGGTGGCGACAGGATTAAGGTTTTTGGGAAACTTGTAGTTGCTGGAAAATAGACAAAGAAAACACTATTAAGACAATAAAAATAAGGGTAATAAGATTAAGGAAGATTAAAGACAAGAGAAACAAGGGTAATGAATTAGAACATAAAAACAAAAACATATAATAAAGAAATCAATGGCTCTTCCCTTTTAAAGGTTGCGCCCTTATTGGATTTGGATGGATGAATACTCGTTGGAAAGATTATGAAAAGATGAAGAAGATGGTGAAAACGAAATTAAGACCGGATGGTCTGATTAAGAGAAAAACTGAATTAAAAATTTACCCTGGTATGTATGACACTTAACACAAACCCTATAATTTTGTGGAAGTTGGCATGAATTATGATAGATGATGATGATTCCAAGGCTTTATAAATGTAGCACTAAGTAACTTTACAAAATGTTGGGCTTAGGGTGATTCAAACTCAATCCTGAGCATATCTCATTGGGTTTCACAGTTGGGCCCAAAAATAACTTGGGTTCTTGTGATCCACATTGCTGAGGGAGGAAAGGTGAGTGATTTTCCTTTCTTGAATTCTTCTAACTCTATGTGGGTGAAGATACTAACTTTTTTACCCATTTTTATTTTATTATTATAATAATTATTATTATAATAATAATAATTATTATTATTATTATAATATATTATTATTATTATTATTATTATTAAAAAAAAATAGTTACAAACCCAAATCCCAGGCCCAACCAGAACCGGCCCAAACCCAAAAGGAAACCCTAAACATTTGTGGTTTCAGCTAGGGTTTCTAAACCCTAGCTCTAGCCGCCGCCTCAATCTCAGCCGTTGGATCTGAGAGATCCAACGGTCCACACTCCTCTAGATGCAAACCCTAGGGTATGATACCCTAGGGCCACGCGGCCGCCGCAGCTGCTCCCACCATCTCCACCGCTGCCACGTCTCGTTGAAGGCTTCCAGAAGAACCACTCCAGCCGCACACGTCTCCCCCAAACGGTGAGTCACCACTGAAAGTCCGGTGACTCACCGAAGAACCCCTTTTGGACCGGTCCGAAGCTATCACCGGTGGTGGCTATAAAAGCCACCGAGCCCCCTGCCAACAAGGAGAGGAAGAACGGAGAACAAAACAAAAAAAAAACCACAACACAGCAACCAAAAACAAAAGAAAAAAAAGGAGAGAAGCTTACCGAGGAAGCCACGACCGTCGGACCTCTTCAAACGTCACCAAAAACCTTCGAAAATCGAAGGTACTTTCTTAGATTTGCTCCGATCGGGAGCTATTTAAAAGAAAAGAACACTGAAACCGTCATTAGGACGGTCCGATCTACTTTTTAGTGTAAAAAAAAAAATTCTCTCAGAAGAGAGAGAGAGGGAAGAAAGGAAATGAGAGCTGGACCTTCGGGCCAGCCGGTTTCGGGCTTTAAATAGCCCTTCCCAAACGACGTCGTTTCGGGGAGGGCTATTTGTGTAATTAACTAAGGGTTAAATCCCGTCCGCAGTCCCTTGACTTGTAATTCTTACATTTTAGTCACTAAATCAAATTTATAATCCTTTTAATTTGGTCTCTAAATTTTATTTATTTATATTTTAGCCCTTAACTGTAATTATAAATATTTTAGATAAAATACGTATTTAGTCTTTTAGTTTTAATAAATAATATTTTAATCCTGAGTATATATTTTTAATTTATTTTAATCTGATATTCGAATTTTATATAATTTTATTTTAGTCACCAAATTAATAAATAAGGAAAATGGCATGTTTAATCCCTATAATTTTAAATAATTAATTATGAATTAGATATTTAATTTTAATTTTATTATAATTTAGTCACTAATTTTAAATATT